TAAGCAGAAATAGAAGCATTTGTAGAGGGGAGGGGGAAAATGATTTTTCTTAAGGACTTAAAATGCGAAACCATGATAGTTGAGGCTGTCATGCTCACTTTCGCAGTTAAAATAAAAACCTTCACAGAGACTGCCTTGACATAGCAATCAAAGTATTTCTGCAAACAACAGTCTCAAAATTTACAGACATCTGAGTTATAATATTTTAATTGGTAGTGGGTGGCATTTATAATTTTAGTCAGTGATTAAGGTTTCAGTAATGACAGTTGAACATCTCTTTACCATATCCACAATGGATTTTCAACATTTTGTTGAATTTTAGTATTGAATAATTTGTTTTCTGTTGCAAAAGTAAGATTAGTTGTGTATGATAGATTTTTTAATTATAAAAATTTATAACTGGAGACAAAAGTTTAAAGTACTTCCTGAATTTAAGTTTATTTCTATGATATTGGCTACATAGTGATGTATGGTCATTAAGGACAGAAGAAGATCAGTAATTAAAATTCACTTGACTTAAAAACTATTTGTTTTAATAACTGTCAGTAATATTTTGTATTGGCTGCTAACAAGTTAGATTTAGTCTGACTGCTTTGAGTGTTGTTTCTTTTTTTTTTTAAGAGAGAATTTTTTTTAATATTCATTTTTTAGTTTTTGGTGGACACAACATCTTTATTTTATTTTTATGTGGTGCTGAGGATCGAACCCAGCGCCTGCGCATGCCAGGCGAGCACGTTACCCTTGAGCCACATCCCCAGCCCAAGTGTTGTTTCTTTAAGGTGCCTGTGTCAGAAACAAAGTGCCCAAAGGAAAAATAGTTAACCAACAGAAGTAACATTATCTCAGAACTATAAATTTCTCTGAAGTATACTAGTGCATATTATTTATAGTTTGTGTAATTACTCTTACCTGCAGTACCAAGATTAAGTTGAATACTAAGATTACCACTTCTGTACTGTTTAGATTTTAAAAAGAAAAAAGAAAAGTCAACTTCAAGGACCTTAGTTTTATCATAAGCATATTAGGTATTATTAACTTAATGAACATGGAAATAATTTAAACCCCTTTTTATAATTACACATATACTGGAACTTCTTACCTGATACAACAAAGGAGAATTTGGATTATGGACCTGTCTTAGATATTATCAAAAAAGATTTAACCAGTTTAGCTTTAAAGCAATATTTTTTTATAAGTTATCCCATAGTACCAGGACTATGACAATAATAGATGTTTTGGGGTTTTATAGGGTTTTTTTTGTAGTGCTAGGATCAAACTCAGGGCCTTGTACATGCTAGACATGTCCTCTACCACTGAGTTATACCTTTGTCCATTTCTTGTTTTTTTTTTTTAAATAAACATAAGAATAAATGTGTTGGGGCTTTCAGATTACACTTTTAAGAATTGTTGTTCAGTAGATAAGAGGCCACACTACCTCAAGGAATTGAGCCATTGGTGGACATGGTTAACATAGAATGATTAGCATACATTTCTATCTGCTTTCCCCTTTATTTTTAAAGAAGGAAAGCACCAACATTCAGTGCAGTCACTGTATTTGAGCAGGAGGTATGTAAACCAATTTTTAAAAAAAAAATCTAGATAGAATTTGGTGGTTTTCTTCCTACTCATTAACATTATAAATCACAACTTAATCTAACTTCTGATCTTATCCCTGGTAATGATTTTAAAGTTCCTTTCTAATTTATTCTAAATTCTTGCCTTTGAATTCTGGCCATCTTAACTCTGGGTTTGGGAATTGATAACAAACCCTTAAAAAGTTTTTCTCACCATTGCCAACGAGAATATTATATCTTGACCTCTCTGAAGTAGCCCTTCTTGCTTTACCAGCGTGTTTCTTTGAAAACATTTTTTTCTATTAATCTTCCCAGCTTCACCCATCATTTTATATAATGAAGAGCCTCCAAAGGGTAGAAATCACTTCTTTTTTCTGAATTTATCTATATCTGTCATCTTCTTTCAACATAAACTAAAGCTGGGAAGGGAGTGGAGACAGTTGTCATGCAGGGTCTGACTGCATATGAAGGATGCAAAGGCCTAATCCCACTCACACTTGTATTCCCAAGGATATGGAGGCTGGGGCAGGAGGATTGGAAGTTCAAGGCTAGCCTGGGCAACTTAGTGACATCCTGCCTCAAAATAGCATAAAATAAAAACTCAGTGGTAACACTCTTACCTAGCATGCATGAGGCCCTGGGTTCAGTGCTCAGTGATGGGAAAAGAAAATAAGCTAAACTCTAATCTTTTCCTGGGTCCCCACTTTGTCTTGTCTTCCCTGGAAACCAATAGCTTTTGACAATAAATGAAATCCCACACCCCACCCAACCCCTTGGGAAGGGAATAAGCAGTTACCATCTCTCTTCTGTATGTAAATAGATTCTTTGATTTATTTTCTAGATCCCAAGGTAAATTTCTCTTATCCTGCACTTGACCAGGGTAAAGGATTATAATGTCTTCATCTCCCAGTCCTGGCTTTTTTCTGCTTTTCACCAGGCCCACTTTCTGGGTTGTCCGATACTGTATAAGTGCAGTGTGACAATGGAAGGGGATGTCAGGATTCAAACTAAGTAAAGATATGTTGTAGTCACTGGTCAGCAAAGAAAGGCTTAACATATTTACCCCATTACACATCCCATGATATCATCCCACTTTTAACCCAAAGACCCTGATATTTGGATTTGTGGGTTTTATCCGGGTCTCTCATCCTTTTTTCTCCCCAATAATATAATCTTCTTCTATCCTTTTTTGGACCCTAGAGAAAGCCTATATTCTTCTAAATTCTTTGTAACTGCCCATCATGTTCTCTTTTATGCTGTTCTCACCCAGGAAATCTTGAGACTGCCTGGCAGGATTTCATTCCTCCCCAAGAATGCAATCTGTGTCGTACATTTGCATTATTTTCAGCATCGTGATCTTATCCTAGGTAGTTCTGTGGTCTACTGTTACTACATTTTAAATGCTCAAGGGCCTCTATGCATTTTAATACATGAGCCCAAAGAAAGAAATACTGTTTTAAAGAGAAGACTATCTTATTTGCTCCATATCTTAGTGCACTGCCTAGTACATAGTCTGTGCTTGATCTCCCAAAGAAATGAATAGAATTTTTTTTTTTTTTGGCACCAGATATTGAACCCAGGAGCTCTTAACCACTGAGTCACATCCCCAGTCCTTTTTATTTTTTTATTTTTAGACACTGTTTTGCCAAGTTGCTGAGGCTGGCCTTGAACTTGTTATCCTCTTGCCTTAGTCTCCTGAGATTGAACTTGTTATCCTCTTGCCTTGAACTTGTTATCCTCTTGCCTTAGTCTCCTGAGATTGCAGGCATGCACCACTGTGCCAAGCAAGATAAATGGATTTTGAGTTTCATCCCCAAGATGTACATATTTAAAAAAAAAATTAAGTTGATTAAGTTACCCCTTTCTCCCTTGTCTGGCTCCTAAGTTTATTTCATTAAAAGGCAATATTGTCAAAGTTGCCTTTTTAGCCACTGATTTGTAAGTCTTCAATTATATGTAAGATGTATTTTCAGTTTTAACATCAATAGATCAATTGCAACTAAATTTTATCATTCTTGACAAATCTCTATTGTTAAAATATAGAGAATAAACCTCATTGCAAGAGATGGAGTTTATGCAATAATTTAGTTGTTACTTTTGAAGTATATTTTGTTATTTTTTTAAGCTAGTCCCCAGATTATAATCATTCCAGCTGATGAACAGGAGATTGTTCTCTCCTATAACAAGTTTCTATGCTTTATAAAAATGAAGTGCTTCCTTAAAATTTTTTTCAACTGAACTAAAATAAGTGAATAGAAGTTATATATTTTCAATAAAGAGATAATCTTTTAAATTTTTATTTAGTTGTAGATGGACACAGTATCTTTATTTTATTTATTTATTTTTATGTGGTGCTGAGGATTGAACCCAGTGCCTCACGCGTGTGAGGCAAACTACAACCCCAGCCCCAGAGAGATAATTTTTTTACAAATAAACAAACCCAGGATGATAACAGGGGAAGAGAACTTCATTCTTTTGGGGCCATTGCTTCCCAAATTTGTGTGCATGAAAATATGTCAGACTAGAGGATACACACAACATGCGGTCCAAGAGTATTGTTTTTACTTAGATAAAGAGGTATAGTGTGTGTGTGTGTGTGTGTGTGTGTGTGTTAAAAGAAGAGTATGTTATACAAATGAATTTAGAGGTCACACAATGTTCTAAGATAAAATGAGGATTTCAGAGAAATGGTTTCCTTGTGTCTGAGTGCCAAGTATATATTTACCTTTTCCTTTGCTAAACCTACTTCATTTCACACACACACACACAAAAAAAAAAACAGCTTCAAGGAGGCAGCAAGATCCAGAGTGAGAACTGGCACTGCCCGAATTCTTTTTTATTTTAACCTTTGCTTCCCAAACTTCTGACTTCCTAGAGAACCCATTGTATGATCTGCCTGCCCCCAGGGACCTCATGTTTGAAAGGTGTTACCTTCCAATCTATGTCTAGTACAGAAACTCTTACTATATATTAGTTAATAAAAAACAAAGGAACTGCAAATTACAGTTTCTAATCACCACAGGCTAACCAGAAAGAAACCTTACTTGGGGAGAAATAGTCACATTACATGCAGAGCTTCAGGAATACTGAAGATGATTTACTGATTGTCATTATTAGTATCCTAAAGCCTTGAAGATATAGGGAGCAATGAGGATCCCAGGCTCTGAACCCCAGTTCAGAGCTCTTCTGCCTACAATCTTCAAATCTTTTTATTTTGAGACAGAGTCTCACTAAATTGACCAGGCTGCCTTGATCCTCTTGCTTCAAGTTGCTAGGATTATAGGCATCTGCCACTGCACATGGCCCAAAACTTCAAATCTGATCGTTTTTAGATATATAAAACAGAGATGCCTGTGTTTCAAGTGAGTATGTTGAATTGATGCTTTTCTTTTCTTTCTTTCTTTTTTTTTTTCTTTTTGCATATAGATTGAATATGAAAGGAAAAAGAAAGAAGATGGGAAGCGAGCTCGGGCTGATAAACAACATGTACTAGATATGCTGTTTTCAGCCTTTGAGAAACATCAGTATTATAATCTTAAGGACCTGGTGGACATAACAAAACAACCTGTGGTATGTATATGTTCATATCTATCCTTTAAATAAGTCCTGCTTTGTTAACATGTACTACTAAGTAGAAATGTGTGTTTCGCATATGATTGAGTTCACATTTACTTATACTAATGAGAGTTTGTGTGTTAAGGCATGTTTTCTGATTTTTTTGTAACATCAGTTTCATTGATTTGTTTACTTTTGGTACCAGGGATTGAACCCAGGGGCGCTTAACAACTAAGCCACATCCCCAGCCCCTTTTTTATGTTTTATTTTGATACAGAGCCTTGCTGAGTTGTGAGGCTGGCTTTGAACTTGTCACCTTCCTGCCTCAGCCTCTTGAGCCACTGGGATTAACAGTTGTGTGCCACTGCACTTGTCTACTTCATTGTTTTAAATTCCAAATTACATTTAATATAAATAATTCCACACAAAGAAAAGGAATTATCCTCCTTTGGATTTATTCTTGACATTAATCTGTAGATTTTGTTGTACATAAACCTTTCACTTTTTGTTAAGAAATTAAATTCTAAAAGAGTTAAATAATTTTTTTAATAGAGCAGAAAGTGTTCATACTGCAGTATTATCAACTCATCTTAATGACTTCAGTCCCTTTGGCATCAAAGCCTTAGAAACAGCATTCCAAGCTAGATAAAAAAAAAAAAAAATTGAAAAAGAATAATTCATTAGCTAAGCTGCATTTCTTCTGGTCTTAATGAAGTTTATCTTTGTATTTTTATATATAAACGCATCTACATGAAAATGGCTTCCAGAAACTGACAGCAGACAAGATATTCTTACAGAATAAAACATACACAAAATTGACATTGGAAAATAAGCACTTATAGAGAGACATTTTGATGATACTAAGGAATGCAATTTCTTTGCTGTAGAAGGAATGTAAGATTTATTCATTTTGCATCAAAGATATTATTATAAAGCTTCCATTTTGTTTCTATAGATAATTTTTATATGGCAGTACACAGTAAATCTGATAATTTTTGGCTTATGATCAGGGGTGGACTTCAAGGGATCCATTAGCTTCCTGAATATGTGCAAAAATGTTTGGGTTTTTCTCAGCAGCTAATCCATAGTTTGTATCAGATTATCATAGAGGACCACTGATCTAAATTATAAAACAAACTTATATTATTTAGAGACTATTTCCTCAGCAAGCAGATTTTTGAAGGCAGGGTTGTGAATTTTTCCTAAATATCCATATATTCTACAGCATAAACTTAGCAGAAATTCACTAGTTAATTAATCTGAAAAAAAGGAAAATCCTAGTCCCCAGGAACCATCATATTTTCTTTAAATGGATTTTGACAGGCCTCATGTCATTTATGGTGGGGGTTGGGGACAAAGAACCAGTGTCAAGAAAGTGTAGAATGTCTTTGCCAGGCTGGAGGTGGACCAGAGCTAGACATAGGGCAGAAGGAGATAGCGGTGGAATCTAGCCCTGCTGTTTACCTCACTGGGAAGTCACTTTCATTCCTAAAATTGAAAGAGTTGGACAAGATAATCTTTATGATCTCTTCCAGCTCTGAATCTGTGATTCTCTCCCTATTTCATCATCATCTCCTATTTTCTTCTCCTAAGATCACTCTGAGACCTAGCACAGTTTTCAAACATAGCACCCATTTACCAATATTCCTTTAATCACACATTTCTATTAAAAGTGTCACAGAAAAAGAAAGGGAGGAAGGAAGAGGGGAGAAAAAGAAAATCAGCTCTGATTATAACTGAACCTTATTTCCTGTTCTCTGTCCTCCCAATTTTAGGTCAAAATTCAGGGAAGTTTGTTTTTAATTATTGATTAGCCATTCTAAATCAGGGATCCCCAATCATGTTGATCCAGTGGGGCCATATTTTAATTCAGAATGTGAAATTGAACAGCTTGCATGCTTTTAGTTAAGGTTCAAGTCTACGGAAAAAACTAGCTACAGATCAGTGCCTATACTTTATATCCCTGTTATGTATATATGTGTGTATGTATATATATTTGGTACTGGGAATTGAACCCAGGGGAACTTAACCACTGAGCAACATACCTATCCTTTTTATTTTTTATTCTGAGACAGGGTCTTACTAAGTTGCCCTACTGCATCAGCATTTGGGTAGTATTAACCTAGTATTTAGAGTTTATTTTCAGAGAGGCTTAAGTAGGGGTTTGAATAAAAGTAATAACAGTAAAAATAAAAATAACCAGAATTTGGAATCAAGATACAAAAAAATTATGCTGTTTTACAGGGTAAAATAGCTAGAGAATTTGAAATACTGGGAGCATTTCTCCTATCAAAAATAAAAATTTATAGGTATATACTATTATGGGTCTGTGAATTGGTTGGGATTCCTTTAAGTGCAAGAAACAGAAACCCAAATTCAAAATAAAAATAGAACCAGGCTGTAAGCACACACCTGTTAGCCTAGCAACTCAGGAGGCTGAGGCAGGAAGATCACAGGTTTGAGGCCAGCCTCAGTAACTTAGTAAGACCCTTTCTCAAAAATAAAATAAAGGGCTGGGATTGTGGCTCAGTGGTAAAGCACTTGCCTAGCATGTGTGAGGCTCTGTGTTCAATTCTCAGCACCACATTTAAATAAGTAAAAAATAAAGGTCTGTTGACAATTAAAAAAATAAAGTAAATAAAAACCATTGAGGATATAGCTCAGAGGTAGAGTACCCCGGGTTTAATCCCCAGCTCGACCAACCAATCAATCAATCAATAATTTTTTTTAAGAAATAGATTTTATCACCTCATATAGCTTGGAAAATTCAGGAATGCATGTAACTTTAGAGATAGCCAGATCTACCTAATGTTTAGTCATAACTGTCCATTTCCATCTCTCCATAGCTCTCATCATCTTCTCATCTTTCTTATTTGTTGTCTATTTTTAAGTAGATTCTTACAATATGGTAGCCAGAATGACCTTCTAAAACACCTCACAGCTAGCAACCCCTAACCCCCCTCCCAAAAAAAAAAAAAAAAAGATTTCTATGCTGATTAATTGAATAAAAGCCCAAAAGGAGATTCTAATTGACCTGGTATAGGTCATATGCCTGCTTCTGACACAAGGGGATGGACCCAGGAGTGCTCTCGCCAGCCAAGGCCCACTGCATCTCAAACCCTGTGCCATATTGCTTTAAGTACAAAGTTTGTGCCTAATCAATATTAATCACTTTTTCTGCTGTCTCAGATTTAATGTGTTCAAAACAACTCTGATTTCTACACTCACCAAGAACTCCCCCAGACTTTCTCATTTCAGTAAGTGATACCACAGTTCCCCGCAAGTTATTCAAGCCAGACACCTGTATCCCATTTCTTTTCCACAATATATATTACCAATTGTGATGTATAGATCTCTCTCACCCAGGATCTTAAATGTAAATAGTATCTTAAAGACTTTCTAGTTTAATTTTCTAATTTATTGGCCTAGAGAGGGGAATTGGCTAATGGTTTAGACCTAGTTATCCTGACTTCAGTCAATGAATATCCTTTATCACATTGCCTTAAAAATCATAATTAATTTAAGTCAGATGTGTAGAAAATAGAACTAAAGTTTTATCTTTACTCATTCCATTTCTAATTCAAAAGTAAAAATAATATATGATGCTCATTCCCAAATTTACTTAATATATGCTGTTTTGATTATAGTGCTTTTTTCTAAAATAAACTTTCCCCTTTTCACTTAATTTCTTTTTTCCTCACTTTTGAAAAAACAATATGTGTCATTTTCTTCCTGTTCACAATTCCCTTCTACTTCTCTCTTCATTTTTCCGGTAAGTGGAAATTTTTATTTTGAACGATACTACTAAAACTAAAAAGACAACCAGTCTCTCAGCAGAGCATATTAATTAATGACAGCCCTTTTTGATATATCTATTTTAAAAACTAATTATTTGCTAACTTATGAAATAGAGTCTTAATTAAAAATGTTAGGATATGAAATGTCATACTAAAATAAATTATTAACTGTTGAAATTTAAACACATTTATGAAATTTTAATGCTTTCCTTTAGAATAGAAGACTTAATAATTACTAGATCTACTACCAAATTAATTATAACTTAATGTTTTCCCTTTTAATTTCCTATATGGTTTATTTCAGTTGTTTTCTTTTTTCTTTGACTCATTTCTGAATGAGGGAAAATTTGAGGTGAATTTTGTAGCATACTCACTTAACTCAAGATTTTACATAAATATTAACTAATTTGCTGAAAATTTTCTGTTGGTAAGATACACCTACAGCCTCCCTTGCTTGCCATTTAATTTTCAATAATATTTTCAAATAGAAAAATAATACTATGCCATTGATATTTTTTGGTTGTTTGTACATTCAAAACTATTCTTCACACCAAACCTACTAATAATGAAACAGTTGCCATGGTTCTAAATGCAAATATTTATTTACATTTAAAAAGGAATTTATTGTTTGTTTCTTTATCTGTTAAGACTTGGATACCTTTCTGTATGTTTGTGTATATATATATATATATATATGTATTTTTTTTTTCTTGTTCTTCCAGTTGTAAGCCATTATAAGTCCCAGCCTTGGAATGCCTTATAATATCCCAGAATAAGCTATAGTCAGTATGCAAATAAACTAGTGCAGTTTAGAAATATGTCTTTAACCAACATTAGAGACATGAGCATTTCTCCTATCAAAAGTAAAAATTTATAGGTATATACTATTATGGGTCTGTGAATTGGTTGGGATTCCTTCAGTTGCAAGAAACAGAAACCCAAATTCAAAATATCAATAGAACCAGGCCTGGTGGCACATACCTATAAGCCCAGCAACTTCCCAAAGAAAGTAAACTTTGTCTGAAATATTCAAACATTTGCCAAAGCTAAACAGAAAAGGTATTGCTAATAAGATGATCTACAAATATTAATGCAAACATGTTTTTTTCAAGGTTTGGATTAGGGTCGGCCAGGGCTTATGCTTGACCATTTCATTACTCATCTGTCTGTTTTTTGGAATTTCAAAGGAAGAAATTAAGCCAGTGGGACCCTGGGAGG